ATTTACTTTTAGATACAGTATTAGACTTATGCTGAAGGCCTTAAAAACCAGGGGATAGTTGAAATCTGAAGAAAAAAAAAACATTTTGAAGACAAGTACAGTGTGGGTGGTCTCTGTATCCTAAACATTTCTGGCTTGTACAATCAAGCAAAAAAGTGATGAGCACCGAAAGAAAACTCTACGTGTCTTCCATTTTTTCCCTCCTGACATTTATTTATGGTGTTAGATTTTAGTATTTCCCTGAACCTGAACCTCATCTCTGTTTTTTTCTTCCTCCCTGACCTCACCAATTTCATGAAGAGGGAGAGATGCTCAATATTAATAAAGTAAAGCATTTCTTGTTTGTTGCCACTGGGAGGACCAAACTTTTGAATTCCTGTTTCTGAGAGAGAAAATACCACCAAATGCACCAGATAGTCTTTTAAAATATGGGGTTTCATTTTCTAAAAAAGAGTCTAGACTGGAGGTGAAAGAGGCCATGACCCAGATCAATTCGTCTTAATAGGGTAAAAAGAAAAACATACCTTTATAGGGAACTTATGTCATAACAACAAAAGATCACACAAACTTTCTTGCACAGTTTGCATACAAATTGTTCTGGCACAACCTTGTACTGGTATGTTTACAGCCTTGTGATGAATTATACAAACATCAGAAATATGCTGACTATACTATGATGCTGATACAAGTAGGGTACAAAAGATGTTTTACTATTTTCAGAACAGAGCACCATAAGCTCTTCCAGTTTTATCTCTCATGTAAGAAAATGTCAGTTCATCTGTTACATTCCAAGTTTTCCTGTCATTTGGGACTCCTATCTCTTTCTCCCTGTCTCCCTGACTCCTAGCTGGGAGGAAGAGTAACGTCCTTGCTGTGTTTTCAACAGGTATGTGAGAGAATGTTTGGGGCACTTATCTTGCAAGAAAGAAATGTGTTAGAGAGGATTTCTATTGAATGGGTTTGTTTATGCTAGTGAAAGTGAAGCATTGAACACGTTTTCAAAGGAAATGGTGAAGAATAATTTTATATCATTAATATACTATAGATATTTGATTCCCTGCCCCTTTCTCGTAAGGTCTCTCCAGTTAGCGTACAGGGAGTCATCCAGTACTGAGAGTTTAGCTCACGTGAAATGAATTTATTCACCATCAGATGCACAGGTAAAGATGCTCCTGGGTTCAGCCTTGCTCTAGGACAGGGGTCTCAAACATGCGGCCCGGGGGCCATTTGCGCCCCCCCAGATGATAGTTTGTGGCCCTCACCTTGCCTGCCCCCCCAAAGTGCCCACACATCCTCTGTTGTCAAGAGTAAAAAAAAGCCTTGCCTCGCTCGCCGGCTCTCTCCCAAGACAGCACCTCTTGCACCCTCCATCCAGAACTGCAGCCTGCCAGCCAGCCCACCTGTCTGTCGGCTAAGGAAACTCCTGGGCGGCTTCCTCGGGCTCTTGCTCCGCTTGGCGGAAAATGTGATGCGGCCCAGCCTCTCCCAGATTCTGCCTTTAGCGGCCCCCGGGTAAATTGAGTTTAAAAACCCTGCTCTAGGATATCTATCTGCCAATTTTGAAGAGAAAAGAAGGTGTTGATGACCATGGAGATGAAAGTTGAGAGAGATTATAGAGAGGCTAGAAGATGGAGAATAGATTCCAATATTTTTCAGTATATAGATGTAATGGATAGGGCTAAGAAAGAATGAATAGGAATATGGTCAATAAATGAAGCAGACGGGAGTAAAATAGGAGTGTTAATGGACACAATGAAAGTAATTATGAGAGGAATTGTCATAAGGGAATCATGCAGAATTAAAAAAATTGAGAGAAGAAAATATATTAAAAAAGAAGAATCATTAAAATATCTAGAAAGTAAATATTTTATAGATAGAGATAATAAGAAACTATTAGGGATTCAAACTAAAAGGAAAGAGTTAGAAAGCATAGACTTAGAAAAGTTTCAGAGGGATTTGATATACTTGAATTTTTTCGAGTATAATAATAACAATTCAAAGCTTTTAGCCAGGGTATCTCAAACTAAAAGATTAAAAATGTAATTGGAGTGATTAGAGGTAAAGCAGGAAAGAATTGCAGCCTGATGAAAGAAAAATTAGTAATATTACAAGAATTTTATCAAAATGTATATAAAGGAAATAATATACCGAAAGAAGATATAAAAATTTATATTAAAAAATGTAAAGAGTAAACTATTAGAGAATGACAAAAGAGAATTAGAAAAAGAGATAAAGGATGAAGAGATTACAGAGGTTATCAACAAATTTAAAAAAATCAAGCTCCAAGCTTTGATGGAATGGCATCAGAATATTATAAATCTTTTAAATCAATACTGATACCCAGGTTGAAAATACTTTATAATGGAATATTGGAAAGAGAGAAAATACCAGAATCTTGGAAATATTCACTAACAACTCTTAACCCAAAACTCAATAAATATCTGACAGATCCAAGTTCGTATAGGCCTATCTCATTAAATCAAGATACAAAGATATTTACAGAGGTTTTAGTAAATAGAATAAATAAGTTCATTACATAATATATTAAAGAGTATCAGAATGCTTTTTTAAGGGATGAAATATGGAGAATTTAACTAGGAAGGTTCTGAATATTATATATAATATTGAAAAAGATAAGATAAAGGCAGGTATTTTATCCTTAGATATTTTTAAGGTATTTGATTGTGTAGAATGGTCAACATTAAAGACTGACTCTCTATTAGGATTAGAAACTGAAATAGAGAATTTCCCTGCTAATATGAAAGTCTATTTAGAATTATTTAAGGGGAAAAAAGTTATTAGATTAAAAGACTGGTTGAATAAAAAGAGATTGAATGATCAAATGAAACAAATTCTTCAAATAAGAATATATCATGGTTGAATTATATGCGTTAGAAAGATGGGCTAATGAATGGGTAAAGAAGTACAACAAAGGTAGAGAATGTACAAAGTATGAACAGTTTCTATTAAATGAAGACATCCAGATGTCTGAGCCAGTGAAGGGTGTAGGAAGTAAAATGTATAGATTCCTGCTAGATTTAAAAGAATAAATCGAGAATGAAGGATTGATGCTACTGTGGGAACAAGATTTAGGAAAAAGAATACAGTAAATGGTGAAGAACGGATGAAGATATGGAAAATGAGAGTTTTATGATTTACGTCGGTGAGAATAAAAGAATTTTTTAAAAAACTAGGTTTAAGATGGTATTTGACACCAATAAAATTGAATAAAATTAACTCTAATTATCTGAATGTCTGTTGGAAATGTGAGAAGGAAATTGATACATACTTTCATATGTGGTGGGAATGTGAAAAAGTACAATGATTTTGGAAACTAATTTTTAAAGAATTAAGTGATATATGTGAAAGCAATATAGAATTTAATCCTGAGATAGCTTTGTTATCAACATTTGTAAATGTGGAATATGATATGATGACTAGAGAGTTGATTACCAATTTATTAACAGCAGCCAGATTAATAATAGCCAGGAATTGGAAATCAAAACTTGAATTTCAAATGGAAGAATGGTATAATGAAATTTGGAACATTACTATAAATAAATTAACTTGTAATTTAAAGAATTAAGAAAGGAGAGATAAAAATAATTTTTATGATATATGGGGCAGATTTATTGAATATGTGCTGACAGGAGGAAAAGGGAAAGTTCCAAATCAGGAATCAATGCAGTTCTGGAGAAGAGGACAATGGAGGAAGAAGATTACAGTGGACCCTTGACTTACAGACGGCTTGACTTACAGACTTTTTGAGTTACAGACTTCTCTGGCCACAAAATTTAGGTTTGACTTGCAGACTGAGATTTGACTTACAGACCAGAAAAAAACCAAAATGGAACAAAAACGGCCTGTTACGGGATTAATCGGTTTTCAGTGCACTGTAGGTCAATGGAGACTTGACTTACAGACTTTTTGACTTGAGAACCGCCTTCCAATACGGATTAAGTTCTCAAGTCAAGACCCCACTGTACTGCAAGAGGTCCCGACTAGGGTGGTGGGGAACACAATTGATTTGTATTTTGGTTTATGTATTTTATGTTGTAGTTCATAAATTAAAAATTAGAAAAAAGAAGAAAAGAAGGTAGGCAGCACAAAGCACAAGGAAGAAAAACCTCCAAGTGGTACTAGAAAAGAGTATTCCCCCCACTTCTCTAACCCAGAATTTAGTTCTTCACAAGAAAGTGGAGGGGGAAAGCACTTTCCTTTTTGAGGTCTGATCATTGTTAAAGGAATGTTGGTTAAGTTGTTTCGACTGCTGTAATTGTCTTGGGGTATAAACAAACAGGGTTTATTATTGTGGTTATGAAAAAGAAAAGAACATTTGTCAAATTAAATTAGAAGTGGAAAGAATGTTACTAGACTGTATACTTCTTTTAAAAATGAGTCAGCCTTTGTTGTGGCCTCAGGTATCTCCTAATTCACACTGAAAAGATACTGGATTATTCACGAAGTTTTAATTTTAACAGTAAGAATGGCAGCATCCATTAACCTCCACTTCTGGTTTGTTGCGTACATTTTCTTTGTTCCTTCTTCCAATGAACAAAGAATTTGTAGCTCTTCCAGCAACTATCTCTGGTTAATAAGCCTGCATAGCTTTAATCTACCAGTTTTCCTTTGCGTGTGGTTCAACTCACATTTAATCCTCAGAATTAACCAAGACAGGCCTTGGGGTTGCCCTTCAACTATGCTTCCTTTTCTTGGTGTGGACTGGAAACAAGTTATTAGGGTGGACAAAATATATTTTTAACCCATAGGATTAGGTCTTTGGCAACTGGTCCAAGGGCCAAAAAACAGATCCTGATTCATCTTCGGTGGTATAGCACTCCTGTCGTTCATATTTTGCTGGTTCCAAAATTACAGTTTTTCGTTCCACATTGCATTAGACTGGAGAGAAAACAGTTTTTATTACAGCATTTTCTCTAATGAAACTAGAAGCCAGCTTTCAAAACTTACAGTGCTTTTTTTTCCCAAAATATTCTTTGCAGGCCAGAGCTTCTCTCTCTGAAGACGCAGCTCCCAGAGCCGGAGGTCCAGCCTGCACAGCTAATCCAACAGTAGGTGCAAATGTGAACTCTGGTCAAAATGACTGGCTTTCCTACCAATAGGTGAGGATATCCAACTCAGCCCACTATTCCATCTCTATAGGAAAGGAAGGAAATTCAGAGCTGAAGCATCACACAAGAAACTAAGTCCTGAACTAGAAGAACAGAAAGAAGAAAAAGAAGAAGAAAGAACGGGTCTTCTGCCTGAAACAAGACATTGGGCACAAACACTTAGAAATCTTTTATGTGAACTAAACTGAAGTTAACAGCGATAGCCTTGTCCTGTTCCTATTCATTTTGATGGGGGTTGTGTAAGACAACTTACTGGGGGGATCGTGTGCCCATACACTTCCATAGTATGTAACTGCATAATTATTTCTGCTTTGTAGGATTTTTCAGTCGCCTACTGCTGATCTTTTGGCCTAGCTGTTCAAGAACGTAGAAGTGATTCTGTTGCATGCTCGTTGTTGTGATTTTTCCTTAGTTTATGATTATGAGATTATAAAATGCCTCCCTTAAAATATTTTCAGTGGTTATACCAATCTTTCAGGAATTGCATTCCTTGGACCTCCTTTATTGTACACAATATTGTAATGCAACTGTTGCTAGTATCTTGTGTAAAGGTTCTGGCGAAGCCAGTAAATGACAATGGACAATAAGAACAAAAAGAAGATGGACGCAATCCAGTGAGAAGTCGAAAGAAAAAGGAACTTTTCAAGAGAAGAGTATTTCTCTTCTTCATTTCACCAAAAGTTCCCCGAGGAGCTTCTGCTTCTTCGTCAGTTGTATCTATCGTCTCCAAGCCATATTTTTAATTGTGGGTGCACTTGCCTTGCTAAATGCTCAGTTTACCACTGTCTGTAGTTATATTTGTTCAAGTAACTGTAGTAGGGTCCACCCATATACGCACATGCAGACATGAACGCACTTCCTTTGATTTATCCCTATCGCATAACTCATGTTGAGAATAATGTTGCAAGTTGATCAGTACTCCTTTGCAACAATTAAAAAAGAATGAGGCATACTGGTCACAAACATACATGCAAGAGAACACAGAAGCCTATCCTGCAAAGCTGCCCTTTAAAGCTGGCTCATTTATGGTGCTTGGAAATGTTCCAGTGGGATATTAAGTGGGATTGAATACCAAATTGATACTCATCTCTACAGCACAAGGGATAGTTCATTGGTTAATCTTAGGTGTAAAGCCATGATGAAGAGCTACTGTAAACACAGTTCTTAAAAAGAAATAGAGACTCTTATGACAGTGTGCTTTCACAGTTACGTGGTTATATAGTTGTGTAGTCTGCTGTAGGGTTTTCTGTAAACTTTTTGTGTTTGGGGAACTGCTGTGTTCAAACAGGAACAAAAATTCACCATTGTAAAGATTTTTAGAAATCTGGCTGAAAGAGTGGCAATCAGCATTCTAGTAGATCAAGTTAAATGTAGAGAGTGTAATCCACATACCACTGGAATCATCAGGGAAACAATCTACTTTCTAAAGGATGTGGAATGCACCAATTTCTATTTATGCACTGTCATCTTTTTTTTGTTATACAAAGATTAAAAATGCTGTGTAGTTTTGCATATTATTTGCTAGGTTTTAATATTGAGTTTGTATGCTTTTAAAATAATAAAAACACTTTTTAAAAATTGTGTACGAGTAATAATTTGTCAGTAGAATTCTGGGGCTGCAACCACATTCCTGAGAATGGGCATTACATTGCTCCCTCTGACCCAGTTCTCAGGTGATATGTGATATTTATTGATTCAACATATTTATTGTATTGAGCCCCATGGTGTGGTCAAGCCTCTGCTCTTGACCTGAGTTCCATCCCGATGGAGCCAGGTAGCCAGTTCAAGTTGACTCAGCCATCCATCCTTCCGAGGTTCTGTCAGGCCTCTGCTCTTGACCTGAGTTCCATCCCAATGGAGCCAGGTAGCCAGCTCAAGGTTGACTCAGCCATCCATCCTTCCGAGGTTGGTAAAATGAGTACCCAGCTCACTGAGGGACGAAGTGCCCCTTGCATAATTACGTTTTAAACCACTCAGCGAGTGCTCTAGCACTAGGGGGTGGTAAATAGGTCAAAGCAACAACAACAACTCGCAAAGAAACACAGAGTATTAATTTGTAGTAGATGTAGTTAACATTTAGCATATGCATTATAAATGTCAGAATATTTAATTCTTCTGTGAGGATATGCTGAAGAGCTCAGTAAGTATCTCACTGCAAAGAGCAAACTTCAAAGGGCTGCTGCTGTCAACCAAGACCTTTGGGCCCAATACACATTCAGAAATTGTCATATATCTGCCTGAAAATGGAGCAAAGCCATAGACCTCACACTTTGACGAACACTTGACCACAAAAGAAATGAAGCTATTGAACTACACAAAGCAATCAATATGGTAAATTAAATGGCTGTTAAAAGCCTTGAAGAGCCACTGCTGAGATCTTGAACTGCTCACTGAACCCCCCAAAATAACTCTAAGCAGGGCCACCACAAGTACAGAGAACAATAAATAATGAAGACATAACCAGGTCACTGGAGACCTTCCTACCTGACTGTTAGGGAACTTACAGCATTTTGCCTACTCTAAGATCACTGTCCCTTGTGTCCCTTGGCTCTTTGGATTTTAAATAAAGCCACACACACCCAGAAGCAATGTTTGACAGAAAGAAGTTAACAGCTATAGGAGGAAGTGCAATTTGGCAGAGTCTTTATATATCAGGGATTTCTGGCTATTGTGGAATTTGATGGAATGAGGGCTGTGTAATGTCTTGCTTCATGCAGCCAGGACTTTTTCATGGCCAGTGATCAACATGGCCAGTTTCTCATCCCTCAACAATGGGTTTATCCCAGTGACAGCTGGTTACTGTTAGGGAACATGGAAATAGTTTTACATATTCTTGGTTGACAAAATATAGGCATGTTTTTTCTCACTCCTTGGGATAACCTTTCCATTAATAGGCTAGAGTATTTCTCATTTTCCTTGTAGAAAGAACCATAGCAACTCAGGTGTAGTTGGTGAGGGAATGCTATTAATGCTTCTTAACATGTCACACTGAACTCAGCAAGGTGTCTCTAACTGGCAGCTGTGGAAACAGCAGAACAGGAAGTGATCATTTGATCTGAGCCGCTGTTGAAGACTCTACCTGATCTAAGCATAATATGACTATTTACAAGACTTGTACATAATATGGCTATGTGCAAGGCAGATATGTTCCAGCATAAAAACAGAAATGGAAGAAGAGATCTGTGCAACATGAATACCTAGGAGAGCTCCTGGGTTTTGGCATCCCCCATTCTTTGTAGCTGATCCAATTTAATTTTTCTGTAATTTTAATTAATAAAATAGTATTATACCAATATCAGTGTTCTGTCCATCTTTCTTATGTAAGTAAAGGACAAAGTTGTCTTGAATATTAGCCGTACAAACTTGAAGATTAGCCATACACAGCTTGTATAAAATGGTCAAGAAAGATAGATTGCCTGTTCAGCAAACATTCCCTTTGTGAAACTGCTGAAATGCTTCAAAGGCTTTGGCATATTGACCCCAATGTTCAGTGCTAACAATGCTACAATACTACAATGAATTTCAGCCTTCCAAATGTCCTCAGTGTTCTTTGTACAACTCCTTCATCTGCCCTTGACCCTGTCCAAAGTAATTAGAGAAAGGTTTCCAATCTACAATTGAAAAACAATACTGTTGTCAAGGTCAGCACATCTCAGACAAAGAAGATAATACTGGAATGCAGACAAACAAATCCATTGACAAACCGTATCTCCATGAATGATCTGTGCATATTAGATTTCAAATTAAGTTTTTAATTAGAAATACAAAAAAGGAGGAGGCAGGAAAGGAAAAAAAGAAATAATCATGCACATCTTCAATGTGATTAATTTTAGAAACCAGCACATGGTGCAGCTATCATTTGATACTCTGAAAGCATTTGATACGATCGAATGGAAACACATGTTCAGTTTATTGAATGAGCCGAGATATTCGTCTAAATTCACAGTTTTACTATCCAAAATACATGAAGGATTGCAAGCTACAGGAAGGATTAATGGAGTACATCTGAACATTTTAAATTGAAAAGAGGAATGCAACGAAGGTGCCCCTTATCACCATTGCTTTTTGTCACAGCAATAAAACCTTTTGCATCAACAGGATGATTCAATTAAAATATAAAAGTTATAAATACAAAGTTAATTAGTCTAATTTACATGTAATTATCACCATGTACATTTGTCAGATGTTCTCATTTGCTATCAAGTTGAAACCAACTTATAGTAATCCTAATAGGGCTTTCAAGATATGTGAAATATGACTAGCAGCTGTGAGTTCTGGGAGGGCCTTTTGATTCCTAATTCTAAACAGAGCACAGATGAGGAATAAAGCTGAGGCAGACCCAGGAAGCTTGCGACCAGAGCGAGCAAACAGGAGCTTCCCCGGGGAGTTCAATGAAGAGACCCTAACAACTTTTTTTGTTTCTTTGGGATATAGTTATATATTTGTAGATGCTTTCAGCTACATTCAAGGTAACAAAATAAAAGGGACAAGCATTCATAAACAATGAGTTGAAATAAAAAAACCTAGCAGGAATTATGGAGTGTGGAGACAATTCAGTTGTATTAACCTGCAAAGTTTGTGCTATGTTTGTCTTTCTTCCTGAATGTAACACAGCATTCACATGTAACAAATGCAAACTAGTGGCACTGCTAGAAGAAAAAGTGAGAGAAATGGAGCAGCGAGTAGCCACACTCAAGGCTATAAGGGAAGATGAAGCATACACAGGCGGAATTCAGCAGCAGCAGCTGTCACAGGGAGTACTAGAAATGGAAGAAAAGCAAAGCAGAGCAGTGGAGGAGAGTGTTGAGGAGAGTACAGTGGTGCCCCGCTTGATGATTACCCCATTTGATGGTGAATCTGCTTTACACTGAGTTTTTTGTGATCGCTATTGCAATCCCAAAACAATTATTCAAATGGGTTTTTTCGTTTGACGACGATTGGTTCCCTGCTTCAGGAACTGATTTTTTGCTTAACAACAATCAAAAACAGCTGATCATCGGGTTTTCAAAATGGCTCCCCGCTGTGCAAAATGGCTCCCCGCTGTGTTCAGGATGGATTCTTCGCTTTACAGGCACCAGAAAATGGTCGC